CACATACAGTTTATTTGGCTAAAGTACTTAATTTTACTTTTCTGAACATGTTTTTTCTCCACTTTTAAAATTCTTCTGTATCTGCTTCTTGTTACTTTTTTCAGAACGAAGTGTTAAATGATCCTTACTTCACTCTCTCTGAAGCTGAAGTATACAGTTATTCAGGTAAGCCAGCTTGAATGCAGGAATCTTTCAAAGTACATTAACTTTCTCCACTACTTTATGAGTATCTCTGCCTCTTAACTGAAAACACTTTCTTGGTGTGGGACAAAAACAGGTGTTCTAATTACTGAAAAATTTTCAGAGGTCAAGCCTATGTTTTATATAGTTAATATAAAACTTTCTGGTTTTCTCTTTTTCCAGTTGAGTGAATAGCAGTGTGGGGCATGGGGTTAAGCTTGACGTGTAGTGTGTCTTTATTCCACACTTGAACAAAAGTTTCTTCATCTTTTTATAACTTTTCACCTTCATCATATTGATGAATTGGACATAACCTAATTACCTCCAGTCGTTGTTTTGGAAAGGGCACGTACTGGTAGCAGACAGCCTTATTTACTACTGCTGTCCTTCAGGATGTTCCTGGAAGAGGATGTTACCATAAAGTACTGGAATTTTTTTTTCCAAAGATAGTTCTTGTACAGATTGGGGTTCTATCTGTTGTCCAACAGGAAAGAGTCACGACTTTGTTTCTGACCGTTGCTCTGCAGCATGATGGCAATTACTGATGGATCTCATGGAGTTGAAATACTGCAGACATCTTCTCTGCCTGAATATAGGCTGGGTTCATGTACAAGTATTAGTTAAATTAACAGTTCCTGCAGGGTTAAATCTGTTGGTCTTTTATGAACAAGACTGCCTCTGAAGTACTGAAAGGGACACAAGCTTTATTCTATGTTAATTGACTTAAGTAGAAAACTATAACTGCATTTGTTTAAAAAAGGAAAAAGTATCCAGTTTGCTCTAGTCAGAGGGATGCTTGTCCAGAGGAGAATGGAGGGTGCTGTGCTGAGAGGTGCTTCCTTCTGTGAGCTCAATGTTTATCCCATGTGCAACACAAACCAATAATATTATGAAACCTATGTGGTATTGATAACTCCAGTGGCATTGTTCAAACATGCAATTAAAATTTGCTGGAATACTTAAGGAAGTTCTAAAATCAAATCAAGATCCCAGCTTTCTCTCTGTGTACATTCAGCCCATGTAGATCTACTGAGCTACGGTACGGTACTGTTCCTTTATCACTGCTCTCTTCCTCAGTTCATCCATGAGGATTTAAAGATTTTATTCACAACGGGCAGAACTAATCTTGCATATTTTCTGCAGATTTGTATCCTATGTTGGCCCTGTGCTGCCCTGTGAAATAACATAATTTCCTCTTCGTGTTCCTTATTATCCTGACTATCTTCTTTGGGTTTTCAGTTTCATCACGCAAAAGTCTCAGGTGGACAAGAGGAAGCAGGTAGTGAGATGTCTGAGCTCCACACAGGCTGGTAGCTGAGGTGGCAAGTCACCCCAGCCACTGCTGAGCTCACAGGGAAGCCTTTTCTCAGCAGGGTTGTAATTGTCTGCTGCCCAGCTGTGGGCTGTGGGTTTAGCAGAGTGGGGCAGGGATGTCTTTTTCCACAAAACATGCAGGACCTCAGAGGGAATGGAGAAATAAAGGAACAAGTTCTATTCCTTGAGGGAATAAGGCTAAGAACATACTAACTTGTGATAAAGAGGTGGCCTGTCTGGAGAAGTAACAGTAGGCTTTTCTTCAAACATCCATTCTTGCTTTGTTTTAAAGTGCCCTTGCTGTTAGGCCTCTGAATTTATTTCTTTTGCCTCTCTAACAGCACTGCAAAGGATTTTTTTTTTTTTTCCCCTCCTTCCCGACAAGCTAGAAAAGTATCAGTTTTTACATTCTGTGATTGTAACAGAGGACTGTTGTTCTCTGTTGAATTGTATTGCCATAACAGTGAGCTCATACCTCTGAAATACTGGTTTGTCTCTCACTCACTTCAAAAGCTTCATTAGACAAGGTTGGAATGTGAAAAGTTAGTATAATTTTCATGTACAATATTACACTACTATGAGTAGTTTGTTATTTCACTCTTGGCTCTTTGTGCTTTGAGAAAGTATTTATTGAGTTGGGAGTATTTCTGCAGCCGAAAGAGGCTACTGTATTTCAGGTAGATAGACCTTTCTGAAGCACAGCAAGATAGGCTCTCTTAGGCTATACTGATTATTGCACTGTGGTTTTGTTTTGTTTCTAAAAGATGCTTCTTAATTTTATAAAAACTGAAAGCTTCCTTTGGCACTGTAGTGATTTAAATGTCCCTTCTAAAAATTTTGAACTAGTTTTCTTGAAATGACTAGGCAGCAGTTGTTTGCATTTGGATGTAGAAATGTCACTTAGTGTAACAGAGTAACATTTTAACCTTGTTAGGTATTTTTTAGTGAAGAAGAAATGAGAATGCCGAACAGTTACCTTCTGATCACCACTCTTAGTCAGAGGGTAGTTTTAATCTTTGTTTGCAGAAAAAGACCAATTTTAATCCTCTTTCATTCCAGTTAATTTTTGCAGTCTATAGTGGTCTTACTGAAGAGGTTAAATGGTGGTGATGTTAGCACAATCTCTCATTTTGTGGAAGCTGCTTTTCCAGTACCTTTTGCCTTTAAGGACACTTCTTTGTTTTGCTTTGGTGGGGATATATTAAAAATCACTTTTTCTTCACATGTTGCAATTTGTTCTGTTACACTTCCAGAAGTATAAATTTTAGTGAGTAGCTGATAGACCTCTTATCAACAGTTTGCTATCTGAGCAGGGCGTTTTATCTTTGTATGACGGAAAAATGTGGGTTATTTCTCTGATGTACCTGCTGCTGCTGTTCATGGTGTACGCACAGCTGAAAATAGATCCCTCAATACAGGACCACTTGGAAAGGCAATTTTGTCCTTCTTCTGTCAAGATGAACTTCTGTGGAACTCCGAAAGTGTAATTTGCTTTGTTTTACCATGTTGTATTTAAAATACTCCACAAATGTTATTAATGCTCTGTAAGAATTGAATATTGCTGCTGGACAGTATGCTCCACTTAAAACCTGTGAATGTTTCACTTTGCAGTTATAGGTAGTCGTGTCCCTACTGGCAGGTGTAAGTTGGTGACTTGTCTGGAATGATCACCATAAGGATTTGTTTCTTAAGTACCTTCTTTGAAGTGCCTTTGACCAATTTTTAGCATCAAAATTAAGTTGAGAATTGAATAAATAAAATAAGTTATCTCATACAGAATTCATGTCTGTCTTCATTTACCCCTCCTGTATGCCAGGGATGTAGCATAGCAGCACAGTTTAGTCTGATAAAAACATTCTTACGTTTTTTTCTTGAGTGGGTACAGGAAAGTCAAAAAGCTTCTCACACTTGCCATGTTTTCTGTTATTATATTTATGCTATTAACAAATAGCAAGCTACCTTGAAAACAAAGATGGAATTTTTTAAGTGTAAAATTAATCATAAGTGCTAGTACTAGATTCACATAACAAGGCCTTTGTTTCTGTGTTGTCCTGATTTTTTCAGTGTCTCCACCTTGTGATAGAGTCCTGAGTGAACTGGCTATAGCCGATACCTCAAAGATAAAGCAAAAATGTTCAAAATTAACTACCTTTTTAAAAAAGGATTTATTCTTTCAGTGAATCTCTTACTTCTGGGAAAAAAAAAAAAAAACAAACAAAAAACAACCCCAAAAGCTATTATGTATTTTCTCACTTAGCTTTCTGCTGTTCATGCAGAATAGTATTCAGCAGTAAATAATATTCCACTTAGGCAGATGGGAAGTGTCTTTACATACGAAATGCGAAATGCTGGTTGCTGGACAGCACAAGTTGGTAGGCACAAGCACGGTACAGCTGTGTTTCATTACCTTAAGTACT